CCCCCCCCCCCCCCCCCCCCCGCCCCCCGCCCCCCCCCAAGCCTCAACGGTTTTTTTTTCTTTTGTCCGAAACGATACAACAATCCGCACGTTGTTGGTCGGCACGTCCTACGTGCGCTTACACGGAAATGCCTTCAATTGTGTTTTTCATCCGCGTGCGCCCCGGCGGCGGCGGTGGCCGTGGCCGTAACATTCACGATAATTCGCAACAGAGAGAGAGAGAGAGAGAGAGCTGAAAATGCCGCCGTAATTTCGTTGGGTGTGGAATTACTTGTTTTTGAGAAAACAATTATTTTTCGCGTTGGCGTTTTTTGTGTCTCGGTCCCCATGTATGGGGGTATGCGACATAAGGCAACGTGAAGAGAATCGGCGAGCTAGAGGCCGAGCTTGCGAGGAGCACGGCCGCCAGCGAGCTCAAGCTTCGCGCCCTGCGGCAAGAGCACGAGCGCGTCAAGAACGGCCTCCAGAGACAGCTGGAGACCAGGGTCGGGGGGGCGGCCGCGGCGGCATCCGCCGGTGTTACCGGGGCAAGCGGCGGCGGCGGTGGCTGCGGCGGCGGTGGAGTTTGCGGGAGACCCGGCGTTGCGACGGGTGGCGGCAGCGGCGGCCGGAGTCCTCAGGGGCGGCAAGGGGAAGGGGGTGGGGGGGAGGAGAAGGAGGAGGAGGAACAGCAGCAGCAGCAGCAGCAGCAGCAGGTAGGTTATTGCTCAGCAGTCTGTTGATGTAGGTGTCTCGCACACTTTACTTGAGTCGTCACCCGAGCCTTGGTGACCAGGAGCAACGAATGCGCCCGATGGTTCTCCTGGCATGCAGAGCGGCTTGGCCCTGCTGTAGCTCTCCGATGCGCGCTTTGCACCCCCACCCCGCTCTCTCCGCGCTCCTCCCTGACGGTGAACACGACCCTACTCGGAGGCACCACATACTGCCGTGATGGACAGCGAAGCATCTTGAGTCAGCAATGGCATCGGGAGGAGATGCCTCGTTTTGGATCAACCTAGCCGTCGTCAACCCCTGACCCGTCCCCCGTCCCCCCCCCCCCCCTGGTCCGGTGAGAACCCGGCGTTCTCCGTCCCGGCTTTGTAGGGATGCGAGGTCAATGGTCTAACGACTACGACATGCACGACTATGAGTACACCCCCCCCCTCGGTGTTTGCCATCGGGATTGGGTTTTCGTCGCTTGGCAACGACGTTGTAAAACAAGCCAATTCACTTCGTGAACTCGGCAACCAGGTTACCGTTTTTGTTTTTTTACCTCGGTTTTTCTTTGGCGGTAACCATAATGGTGGTCGAGTAGATCATGTTGTGCGGGGTGGAGAACCCTCACTCCGCGCAAGGGGGATGATCGCACCACGCGAGGCAGTTACACAGTGCTTACAACTGTCTCTGGAAGTGAAAGCACCAGAAAATAAATTAAGTCATACGTAGCTGTCATCCGTACGCCAGGAAGTAAGCACAAGATGCCGAACACCCTTAGCAGGATGCAGCTCACCCTTCATGCGACTCGCCAAATACCTCACGGCGCTTCGCGCTTGGTGATGTGAGAGCCTGGTCCGGTGAGAACCCGGCGTGCTCCGTCCCGGCTTTGTAGGGATGCGAGGTCAATGGTCTAACGACTACGTCATGCACGACTATGAGTACACCCCCCCCCCCCTCTTCCTCACCGCCTCTCTTGGAAAATACTTCTATCCATCAATGTATCACTTTTTGTTGTTGTTGTTTGCCAGGACCGTGTCGCCGAGCTGGAGAAAGAGCTGACCCACGTGCGCTCGTTCTACACGCGCAAGCTCAAGGAGGTGGAGCGGAGGGCGGAGAACCAGATGCGCGCGCTCAAGCGAGGCAGCCCCGGCACCGGCGCCGGCGGCAGCAGGCATCACGGTCGAGATGGCGTGTCTGCCCTAGGGATCGCTCCCGCCGCCGTCGCCGCCGCCGCCGCCGCCGGTGGTGGGCCTGATGCGGACGGGAGCAGCAATAGGGGGGCCCGTGGTATGGACGGCGGCGGCGATGAGGGGGAAGGGGGAGGAGGTGGGTTCCGGCGAGAGCAACAGCAGCAGCACCACCAGGTGTCAGCGGCGGTCGGTTTGGCAGCGATGCAACAGGGGAGAGAAGGTGGGCGCTGTCGCGGCGGCGGCGGTCATGAGCGAGAGAGGGTGGACTACGACGACGATGACTCACGGCCGTTGACCGGGAGAGATGACGGCGGCGGCGGCGGTGGCGGTGGTGACCGTCGGCTGGACCGCGGTAGAGGGGCAGAATCCCAGGAACGTCAGCAGCAGCAGCAGCAGCAACAACAGCGGCGGCGGCGACAGCAAGAGGAAGGACTAGAACGACGGCAGGGAGTTTCGCGGAGGCAACGGGACGGCAATGATGCGCCGCGGAGATCGGGAGACGGTCAGGAGTGGTCGCAGCAACAGCAACGGCGACGGCCGCAGTCTGAATCCGAGGACAGCAGCTGCCGCAGCGGTAGGGGTCTGTTGTCGTCGTCGTCAACGTCGTCGTCGGTGCCGGGGGACGCGCTGAGGGCGGAGCGCGCCCGGCACGAGAGGGAGCTGGAGAGGGAGAGGGCGGCGGCGGAAGCAAGAGTAGGGTCGCTGAAAGTCCGGCTAATGCAAACAGCGCAGGTATTCGAGTGGAAAGAAAGCAAGCGTCTGCTGTAGGGACTTTTTCTTTTCTTTTCTTACTGAGACACGGGCGAAAATTCGTCTCTGTTCACCGATGATAGATAAGGGCCCGGGATAGAACAGCGTTATATTATCATTTTTACAAGATATGTATACATACAAGCACAGCAGTCGATCTATTATAGTAACATAGCTGTCTCTGAAAGGGCTGTGCCGCCTGCAGCAGCGGAGTGGGTGCTTGCTTGCTTGCTTGCTTGCTTGCTTGCTTGCTTGCGCTCTCCGTGTGAACCGCCTTGGTTTGTTTGTGGTTTCAGTTTATGCTGTGGTTGGGTACGGTAGAGTATGATGGCACGGTTTAAGCGCGGGGGCGGTTGACGGCGCCGAGGTGTGACGTTGTTAGGAAAGAAAATGATTCAAAGAACACCGTCCCGGGCTACGTCACTACCGCTGATATCTCTTTCGGCACTAAGGTTGGAGGCTATTTATGTGCCAATTTAACCTTTGGAACCCCCCCCCTCCCGCGTTCAGTGAAAAGGGGGAAAACGTCTGTTGTCGTGGGGACCGTAGGTGGAGAGAATTGAGGATGTTTCTTGTGAAAGGGAAGCCTGTCGCGCTTGTCGTCTCCGTGCTGTCTCTCTTGTCATGTCGTCTACCCGCCGTCTTGCTTGCCACATCGTCTCCGTGTCGTCCTGCTTGCTTGTTGCAGCGCTTCGCTCTCCTGTTTGATGTGTGATGAAACTATTTCACGCGCTTTTCGGGGGAAGGGAAAACAAGGTAGGGACGGACCAAACGAGAAAGCTGCACGTTTTTTTTTTCTTCTTACTTGCTCCACCCAACGAATTCATCCCCTCCATAGAGGCTGTGGGGATAGGTTAGCAATGGGCTAAAATAGCGGAAGTGGACGGGATGACTCCTGCAAGCCTTTCGGGTAGTGGACCGCAGGCAGCGGTGGTGGCAACGAACGCACGGAATCACACGCCCCCCTCCCCCCCCCCCCCCCCCCGCCTTCCTCTGGGCGGGAAACCAAACCAAACCCACAGGCCCTCGGCAAGGCGCAGGCACGGGAGCAAGCCGAGGCCTGGGGCAGGGGGAAGGCGGGCGCCGCTGCTCCCCCAACCACCGCAAGCGGCGGCGGCGGCGGCGGTGATGGCACTCCTTCCGCTCGTGGCAGAGGGGGGGGTAGTAGTGGTAGGGCCGGCGGCGGGGACGGCGAAGAGGACGTGAGGCTTAGGGAGAGGGAGCGGGTGCTGGAGCTGGAGGCCGCGGTGGCTAAGGAGCGGCAGGCGGCGGCTGCGAAGGACCTGGAACGATCAGAGGTTGGTTGGTTCGTCGGCGTTTTTTTGGGATTGATCGCGGTCCGTCGGTTGCGGAGGGGGCTACATAGGTTCGACGTGATCTTGGGTGAAGAGGAGACTGTTTTCCGAGTAATGTGGGACTATTTCGGTCTGTGGTAAATTAAGCGAGAAGACGGCGGGGTTGGTGTGATCACGGTTTTCTTGGTGGCGTAGGAGCAGCAGCAGCAGCCGTATTGTAGAAGCCGAATCTCTTCGTGGTGGTTGTTGTGGTTTTTGATACGGCGACGGTCTTGGCGAGAACAGGGATGCCTCGGTTGTGCTCTTGCCTGCACAAGCATTCCAAGAACCCAGGCTTATGGCGTGATGAAGCCAAGTAATTCCCCCTTTCTCTCCCTCGGAAATATTTTTTTCTTATTTTGTTGTGCTGATTCGGACCGACCGCGGACGAGCAGGACATGCGGCGAATGTTGGAAGCCGAGGTGCTCGGGCTGAGGACCAGGCTGAACGAGCCCTCCACACCCTCTCAGGCCAAGTACATGGACCTCTCGAAAAAGGTGTGGGCTTTGCGCGCGAGGCACGACCGCAACTGCTTCTGTGCTGTGTGTGCTCTCCCACGCAATCGAAGTTTGACACTTTTTTTTTTTTTTTTGTGTGTGGTGTGTCGTAGGCCGGATTTTTTCTCCTCTCGATTCAGCTCCCCACCGCGGCCCTCGCGCCTGGACGAACCGCCGTATGTTGTTGGTCCGCGGTGATTGCGTGATTACTACAGTACACGCATCGGGTAGACTCGACGTTCGTCATGGCTCGCTCGGTCGATTTCTTCGCAACCAAGAGGGGGCTATCGAAAACCGCCCGGCATCTAAAGGGGGAAGCTCTTGACGAAACCATTTTTGGCGTTCCCTATCGATTGTGAAGCAAAGAATTGAGCCATCAAGTCTGTCTACACCGGGGGGGAGGGGTGTCATCGTCTCGCAGGATTGCGCTACGAGCTTACCGTACCTTGTGTGACTCAAAGATGCCACGCGCTAGGTACGGTACGGTATATTTGATGCCGTCGATGGCGCGGCTTGAAACAAAGAACGCCTGGGTGACTGCCGCACCACCGAAAACCGGCGACTAGGACATGTAGGGCCAGGCCCTCAATAAAAGGGAGGGGGGGTAGATGTAGATATAGGTTAGACATGCATGATTTTTCCGCGTAAACACACCACCACACGATGGAGACGCAAACAGCGCGCTCGAAGATTGGTCGTGTCCCTACATTACCAGGAGAGAGAGGCGGCGGTGCCTCTATCTCGAAGCCAGGGATCTATCTATGCGTTTGTCAACGATCCACCGACAAGGACATGTGAACGACAGCGACTTCCCCCCCTCACCCCCTGCCTTCCCGGTCACCCCTTGCCCTGCCGCCAACCCCCTTCCCCCCCCCAAAAAAAAAAAATCGAACAAAAAAAAAACATCAGGTTGAAGAGATGGAGCGTCGCACGGCGCGGCGAGAGGCCGAGCTGCAGCGGGTGCTCTCGGAGAGCCGGCAGCAGTCCAAGCTCGAGCTCTCGCGGCTCCGGGCCATCCACGCCGACGAGATGCGAGCGAAGGACGCCCTCGTGCACGGCTTCCGGGCGGAGCTCGACGGCTTGCTGAGAGCGGCGGGAAGCTTCATGGGCGGCAGCGGCGGCGGCGGCGGCAGCGGCAGCGGCAGCGGCGAAGGTAGCGGGGCGGGCGAGGATAACCCGCCGCCGCCGCCCCAGCCTGTTTGGGGGGTTGTTACTTGAGAGAGAAAGGGGGGGGAGGGGGGGTTCTGTGGTGGCAGGGGGTGTAGTGGGGGGTTGTATCTATGGTTGGTATTTTTTTGTGGCGTGTGCTTGTTGTCAGTCCTCGATGTTAATTGTTCCACTCAGAGAACGCGTGTTGTGCCTGTTACATATTGTACGGCCGAATCAGGGTGGGTGTTGAGGTGTATTGGTCTGGTGTCTTGTACCCAAGACGGAGGAGAAACTGGTGGTACAATAGCACTGGTAATATAACGCTCCTCTTTAGTTTAATCCTAAGATGATCAGCAGCAGCAGCAGCAGCAGCAGCGGCAGCACATGGCGCGAACGGCAGGCGAAGCATGGAGGAGATGGTCTGTTTAGTTACTGCCCCGTCGCGTCAGTCTTCGGGTGAAGGAATTTTTCGTTCGTTTTTTTTTCACGTGTTGAAGACATCCATCTGCAGGTCTCGTTTGCATTTTGACAGCCTAGTAGGCAGTTTCGTGGATGCCACCGGGGGTGGGGGGTGTTAGGGACCAACTTGTCGCCATCACAGGGACAGACAGCGTTCAACCGCGCGGGATGAATGTAGCGAAATATGGGATGGATATGGCGAAATACGGGACGGGACGAGACGCCAGGTAAACGACGGTTGGTTGTGTGGGGCTGTGGTGTTTAGTGAGAGGAGGGCAACACAAGCCATGTGCGTGCTGCTACAGCAGTGGATGAACGTTGTAGATAGGTGGTTTCGTCCTGTGAAATCGATATTATTTTGGATTCGGTTCCCATGCAAAGCATCCATTACATACATGCGCCGCGGCGGCCATGACCTCGTGCCCCACAACGAGCAGCGGAGGTCTTGCTTCCCCCGACTTCCCGTGCCTCCCCACCAAAACCTCCCCCAGCACATGACCTCGAGAACGCTCCAATACAATCTTTCACTCCCTCCTATAGTTCTATCCTGGTCAACTGCCGCCAAAGTCAATCGCTCGTAGAAACCAACAGGAGTGTAAAAGTACAGATGCAGATATTATGTAGCCCAGCAACCGTTCAAAAACTTGGCAACTGGGAAACGAGGGTCACAGCTTCTCAGAAAACAAGTACTGTAACTGGGTGTCCGTGACGGGAAACGAGTGAAGTACACCTTAACCCGCGCGAGAATTGAGGGCCTTGGGGGGGCAGCCAAGACAAGGGGCGCTCTGAGGTATCACATCACGCTGCTGTGTCATTCCATTTCGTGCAGCCACCAACAAGGGGGGGGGTCTTCATGCAGAACGAAAAAAAAAAACGCTGATGCAGCAGCAGTCTACAGTAGTAGTAGACGTCATTTTCCTCTCTTTCCTCGTACACACACCGAAACAAACAGGAAGAAAATACACCCTCGATTGCAACGGCTTTTTTTGCAACAAGGGGAGTTAGTTCCGAAATAGAAAAGTCTTGTTGCAAATTTTTCATGGTGTTCTCTCCGGTGCCGCCGTGATTTACGAACCCTCTGCTCTACTTTACTGCCGCAAGGTAATCACAACATCTCACAGGCAGCACAAGGCCAGTCTCGGATGAACGGCGGTCCTAAAGAGATTTGACGAGCCATCTGGTTGAAGACTGCAGTGAGGCATTGCCTTGATTGTTGGACCTAGCCTTCTTCACTATTTTTCTCTCTTTCTTGCCCCCCTCCCGCCCCGCCACAAAAAAAATAGCGGTGCAGGTCTTTCTCGCAGAACCCCTCCCTGTCTTCAAATATATAAAATGACTAAAATAAAAAAAACACGCTTAAAATTGCCAACGAAACCTGGGCATACAAGGACTCACCGCTTACTTTTACTCGTCTCTTACCCGGTACCACAACCTTAACCTTGCAAGGCGTCCACACAACGTGGTTATAGTTGGGGACGGACGTGGTTTTCATCCGCGTCTAAAAAAGGCTTTAAAAAAAAAAAAAAACGCTTCTTCCACTTCCACGTGTGTGTGGCATCGCATGTGCTTCGCGGTACATATTTTGCTGTATCCGATCCAACTACGGACCAGGAGCAACAAAAAAACAAAACGGGCGACCGCCACAGTAGTCAGCGACACGACCTGTCGTTGCGCGTAGCAGAGAGAGCAGCGAGAACCGAACCGGGTGCTTTTTTGTTGTGTCGACTACTTCAGTGGAAGTCCAACACAAATCGCACCAACAAGGCTACTACTATATTGAACCCTCCAAACTACGCCAGTCGTCCGTAGTGTACCACGAATCGCACACAAGGCCACTAGCAGTGTCCAATCGATCTCCCCGCAAATACACGGAACAGAGAACCGCCCTAGGGGCAAAAAAAAGAGGCCGCGAAAACAAGGTGAAAAAAAAAACAAACAAGAAAACGGCAAGGAACGGACTAAAAAAAACTGGGACGATTGGGCAGCTCACAGAAAAAAAAACGGCAGCAAAAACTGAAAAATGGCGGTTGAGGGATGTTGGTGCGTGAGCACGTGCTCATCCCGTTCGTGTCTGCTATCACGCCTATCACGCCTTCAGAAGATGACCCTGCCCTTGCTGCCTTCTTGCCTTTTAGCCCTACTCCGGCTACCATAACGTCCCCCGCCCTCCTTCCGCACCTGCCTACAGTAATAGGCACTTACTTCCTGTAGCACGTTTAAACCTGGTGTTGGTTAAGTCAAACGTAACCTGAATAATGTATATGAATTGTATATATGCACATGATACAGCAGGTAACGTCCATATAATTGTAGCAAGGGTGAGAAATATCCAAGGAGAATTAAGTAGAAGATAAAAGTGTTCGCCAAGCCAAACGGAACACGACATGTTTATCCGAAAACGTAACACACCGAGTGCGAGAATTTGAACCCTTACTCTCGCTCTCCTTCTGCCCCCCCCCCCTCCCCCCCCCCCCCGCTACCTGCCTGGTGGTGTTTGTTTTTTCCCCAGGGGGGGAAAAAATTCATGAGGTCTGTCCCCCCCACAAGAAAAAAAGGGACTGGTTTTTAAATAAAAACGGAAAGAAAAGCAACCCGGGGGGGGGGGGTCCGTTTTATTGGGGCCAAGCGGGGGTTTTTTGGTTGTGGCCCAACGAAAGGGCCAAAAAAAAAAAAAAAAGGGAAAAAAACCCAACCCCCCTCCCCAACCGCAGAAAAATAAAGGGGCCCCCGGAGGGGGTTTTTCAAAATCCCTAAAAAAAAGGAAACAAAGGGGCCCCACGAGGGGGGCTTTTGGGTTTTTTTTTTTTTTTTTCCAGGGAGGGGGGGAAAGAAAAAAAAAAAAAAAACCAAACCCCGGCGGGAAAAAAAGGAAAAAAAAAAAAACCG